GCTGGGCCAGGATAACATCTCTTAGCTTGTGAAAAGAGCTGGGCCAGGATAACATCTCTTAGCTTGTGACATGAGCTGGGCCAGGATAACATCTCTTAGCTTGAGAAAAGAGCTGGGCCAGGATAACATCTCTTAGCTTGTGAAAAGAGCTGGGCCAGGATAACATCTCTTAGCTTGTGACATGAGCTGGGCCAGGATAACATCTCTTAGCTTGTGAAAAGAGCTGCGCCAGGATAACATCTCTTAGCTTGTGAAAAGAGCTGGGCCAGGATAAACATCTTAGCTTGTGAAAAGAGCTGGGCCAGGATAACATCTCTTAGCTTGTGACATGAGCTGGGCCAGGATAACATCTCTTAGCTTGTGAAAAGAGCTGCGCCAGGATAACATCTCTTAGCTTGTGAAAAGAGCTGGGCCAGGATAACATCTCTTAGCTTGTGAAAAGAGCTGGGCCAGGATAACATCTTTAGCTTGTGACATGAGTGGGCCAGGATAACATCTCTTAGCTTGTGAAAGAGCTGCGCCAGGATAACATCTCTTAGCTTGTGAAAAGAGCTGGGCCAGGATAACATCTCTTAGCTTGTGAAAAGAGCTGGGCCAGGATAACGTCTCTTAGCTTGTGAAAAGAGCTGGGCCAGGATAACGTCTCTTAGCTTGTGAAAAGAGCTGCGCCAGGATAACATCTCTTAGCTTGTGAAAAGAGCTGGGCCAGGATAACATCTCTTAGCTTGTGAAAAGAGCTGGGCCAGGATAACATCTCTTAGCTTGTGAAAAGAGCTGGGCCAGGATAACATCTCTTAGCTTGTGAAAAGAGCTGGGCCAGGATAACATCTCTTAGCTTGTGAAAAGAGCTGGGCCAGGATAGCATCTCTTAGCTTGTAAAATGAGCTGAGGCAGGATAACACTTCTTAAAGAATGAAAAGGCTCAATTCCATGACTGGAACAATACACAAATAACCCGAACATAGGAGAGAGGAGCTTATGACGACGTTTCGGTCTGACTTGGACCATTTACAAGTGACACTAACACACGAGAGTGATGGAGTCACACCCTCGTGTGTTAGTGTGACTTGCAAATGGTTCTGATCGGACCGAAACGTCCTCATAAGCTTATCTTTCCTATTTGCGGGTTATTTGTGTGTAACATCTCTTTGCTCGTCAATTGAGATGAGGCAGGATAACACCTCTAAGCTTGTCAAATGATATGAGGCAGGATAACAACTTTTTGTAAAATAAACTGGTAGGATAACATTCTCTTAGCTCGTAACATGAGTTGCGGCAGGATAACACCTCTTAGCTCGTAAAATAAATCCAGGAAGTCTGAAGCTAAGGCATGGAGAGTACTTAAGTGTAAAGAGACTATAAAAGGAGAATACTGGTCTCAACTTGACCATCAAAGCGAGAGTTAATCAATATTGCTTAAGTGAGGAGTATAACCAGATGCCACAGTAATGAGTACAGAGGCTAGAGTCATCAGTATAACCAGAGATCACTGTAGTTCAGCATTTATCTCTCGCTGCTTTCACAATTTACACATGATCTCATTATGGGACGACATAACTGGGGAAAAGAAAAAAAATGGTATATCATAGGCCATGTGTAAGAGAATTCAGTGACACTTGGAAAAGCTGGAACAGACCTGGAAAATATATTTCGATATGGCAGTATATGGGAGTACATGGGTGTACATCTGAGTATATGGGAAAGGCAGATAGCAGATCTTTCACTCCACACAGAGGCTATGTCCAGAGGTTTAAAGGACTATTTACTACTGTCTTAATAGAAAACTATCTACTGTTATAAGATGGTTAAGGCTAGAATATTAAAAAAATATAAATGTCCTCTCCCCACCCTCCACTCGTACATGGCACTTCCAGCAAGAAACACTAAAATGTACCACATCGCATTAGAAAAAAACAGAAGATTGGACATCCACCAACCAAGAGAAAAAAAAGGCCCTTGGAGTGATCATTATCAATGACCAAGAGTTGACTGAAGCAAGTCTAGCTACGACCAGCAGAGTTATAAACCTGCCAGGCTTCATAGCTTTAAAAAGTATAGCATAGAATGCTAGAAATAATACTGTGTAAAGATTTGAAAAAGCTTATATGTGTTCTCATTAGTAGATGTTTGTATATACTTAGACACTAAGTATATACAAGTGTTTAAGTTGAATACAAATTTTATTATATATATATATATATATATATATTATATATAGTATATATATTATATTATATTTATTATATATATATATATATATATATGCAATAAGATCACAGTATACATGTGATTTCAAATATGCAAAACAAACATCTGAAAGAATAGAGAAATTTCCAAGCGCTTTTCGTGATACTCACATTATATATATATATATATATATATATATATATATATATATATATATATATATATATATATATATATATATATATATATATATATATTATATATATATATATATTATAGAAAGAGAGAGAGAGAGAGAGAGAGAGAGACTTACCACCATACTTGACTGTTGGCAGGGCTTCCAGCATGGTAGAGAGAGCAGGGGAGGTGCGGTCACCCAGCTGGCAGGGAGGAAATACAACTCTTGTCACAACTGATTCAAAAAATGGTGTCAATCTTATTATAAGAGTAACAGAAATGCAAATTTTTAATGAAAATGCTGCTATTAGTACTATTGCAAACACTGCTACGACTGCTGCTACTAGTACTACTACTACTATTACTATTATTATTACTAGTACTGGTATTACTACTACTGGTACTAGCACTGCTATAATTACTATTACTACTACTAGTACTATCACTACAACTACTATTGCTACTATTGTTACTACTGATGCTACTATTACTACTACTTCTACTACTACTACTACTACTACTGCTACTAGCACTACTATTACCACTACTACTAGTATTGTCACTACAACTACTATTGCTACTACTGATACTACTACTACTACTGATACTACTGCTACTACTACTACTACTATTACTGCTACTAGCACTACTATTACCACTACTACTAGTATTGTCACTACAACTACTATTGCTACTACTGATACTACTACTACTACTACTACTACTACTACTTCTACTACTACTACTACTATTACTGCTACTAGCACTACTATTACCACTACTACTAGTACTGTCACTACAACTACCATTGCTACTACTGATACTACTACTTCTACTTCTACTACTACTGCTGCTATTACTACTACTACTACTATTAATAATAATAATAATAACAATAACATTGTGAATAATGATGATAATGATAATAATAATAATAATAATAATAATAATAATAATAATAATAATAATAATAATAATAATAATAATAACACAATACGGTACACTGTACATACACTCAGAGTTTAATTTCTATTATAGAAAAAAATAAAATATTCTTGAAATTCGTGGACAGATGAATGTCTACGTTGATGTCCGTCCCTCGTGCAGTCGGTAGTCTTCAAACCTAATAAACTAACCGTTGATAATAAAATATGAAAAATATCAATAATAACAATCATGTGATGAATGGTATATAAGCCACGTCTACGGCCCTATGCTGTACATTCTACAAGATTGATGGACTGAACACATCGACTCCAGGTTGAGGGACTGATTACCTCATTCTCCTCCTCTCCTTACGCCTTCCTCTTTGTATTGGACTGATGAAGCCACTGTGTGGCGAAACGTTTCCTGAATAAAGATTCCATATGCTGCATAAGTGTCTCAATCTTCAATAACAATCATACAACTGAAGATTGAGACACTTATGCAACATATGGTAATCTTTATTCAGGAATCGTTTCGCCACCCAGTGGCTTCATCAGTCCAATACAAAGTAGAAAGGCGTAAGGAGAGGAGGAGTTTGAGGTAATCAGTCCCTCAGCCTGGAGTCGATGTGTTCAGTCCATCAATCTTGTAATATCTCCTGTAATCATTCTACAAGATTGATGGACTGAACACAGCGACTCCAGGCTGAGGGACTGATTACCTCAAACTCCTCCTCTCCTTACGCCTTTCTACTTTGTATTGGACTGATGAAGCCTCTGGGTGGCGAAACGTTTCCTGAATAAAGATTACCATATGTTGCATAAGTGTCTCAATCTTCAACTTGTCGGTTTTTCAAACCATTCATCATATACAACTGTAGTTATATTCAGTATTATTATTGTTATTATTATGGTATAGCGGTGGTAATATTATATTTTCTATACTCTACAACATGCATTCGTGATTCCTCTTGATCTCTCTCTCAGTTCCAGTGCATTAGAGGAGAGAGAGAGAAGAGAGAGAGAGAGAGAGAGAAGGAGAGAGAGAGAAGAGAGGAAGAGAGTGAGAGAGAGAGGACTGAGAGATGAGAGAGGAGAAGAGACGAGAGAGAGAGTAGAGATGAGAAGAGATGAGAAGAGTAGAGATTTAGAGAGAGATTGGAGAGAGATGAGAGAGAGAGAGAGAGCGGACACACAGACAGGGATCACCTGGATCAGCACAGCCACAGCCACGACCCCGTACACCTGACTGGCTGCCCGGCTGAAGTTTCTGTAGAGCTGTGCGTTGTATCCATAGATCTGCAGCTGCGGTGGACAACAACACCTGAATTATCGGAAGCTATATTTGTCAAACACCAGTAATATATATGTATATATATATATATATATATATATATATATATATATATATATATATATATATATTATATATATATATATATATATATATTATATATTAGGGAATGATGACTGAAACATTTTTTTTTCTAATTATTGGTTACCTATGAATATTGATATTTGGAATGACCTGAAATGCTTATGGAAGTAAATAATGCTGAAATATGAACTTATCGAGGAAGTTATTATTTTCATGAGAAATGATCAGAGTGCCATGATTATTTTGCCAGAGACAGACAGGAATGGGAAAACATAAGTGAAAATGTGACCTGGCTTTTGTATGCGGACTTGGAGAAGCATGAACCGTGATCTGTGTCAGCATTAACACTGATATTTGGAGACTGGGTCTCCAGTTTCTATATGCGAAGACATGAGGCAGAAAAGCTAATCTCTGATATCTTTAGACCCTAGTTTTTTCAGGAAAATCTCAGCTCTGTGAGCGACCACATGGTGAGCTTCCCACGAGAGCTGATCTCTCTAGGTAGAAGTATGCGGGTGGAGGCCTGTTCACCCCACAGACTCTGTCGGGAGATAAAACTAGACTCTGTTGATAGCTTTTTCTGGGGCCAGGAGCCTTGTCTCTCTTGGTTGGAGAGGTGGAACTGTTTTGTGGAAGGTTGACTCTGTTATAACTGGAGTAAGTGGATATTCAGTTTTGTTGTAATATGTAATTAAGTATTAATTAATTGTTAGTGTGAAAGAAATTATTAACTTCCTCATTAATTCGGTGACTGTTGTAGGATTTTTGATATTGTTAATATAAAAATCAGTCCCATGTGGCTTTTGATTGCTCGGCTAGATATGCTACCATATGCTATTTTTTGGGGGGGGGAAGGGGAGGGGAGGGAGTGAAAGTAAATAATATTAAGGCAAGGGAAAAAATAAAACACTAGTTTGTCCGTGGAAAGTTTACCCTGTTATTTTAAAGTCGAAATTATTCCCTTGGACCAAGCTGACAATAACTGACCCATGTACACCGGGAGTCTGAGAAAACCTCCCGTTTGGATATATTTTTTTTTCTTTGCAATTTTCCCTAATACTTTGTTTTAAAAAAATTAGATATTTGGTAAAAGAGGTTGGGGTGTAGATACATTTTTTTAAGATATCTGGGGAGAATACTGAGTGTTTTTCCTGAGAAACTGTGGTGAAGCTGAATATTTGCGAAGTAAGGAGAAATCACCAGCTGGACTTGGAAAAGTCACTCACTATTGTATCACCCGCTGGAAGGTTATCACCGCCCTGAGAGTGACTCACCATTCTGACTGTTAACTACGGACGGCGACCAAAGCTATCCAAGACTCCCACCACCTGAACATAGTGACCAATCACCTGCCTACTTCCCGTCACCTGACAACAGACGTGTGGCTCCTCCCTGTTGCCCTTCTTGAATAATGAAGTTATTGAGCAGCCGTCCAGGTGTTTGACAGACTTCCCGCGTCTAGTGTTTTATGAAAACACAGCGCTGTATTTAGTAATGTAACGTACACTCTTAACTTTTGTTTTTTGTCTTCTTGCTATTTTGTGTGTACAGTTTGGTCAAGATTTTCTGTACTTGAACGACTGTTGTTTGGTTGTTTGCTAACTCGGTGCTGCTTCCTCTTTCTGGCACTATTCCCTGTTTGGTTGTTAAGATGTTCTACATAATCTTCTCATGTTCTTTACAGAAATCCTTCTTATCTTTAAGGCCTCGTTCTTTCTTCCTTTTTCAGACTCGCTGCAGATTTCATTAGGTTTTCGCATTTTTCTCTCTCTCCTATTTTTTTCTCTTGCTCTTAAATCTATGTCTTCAGTTTTCCTTTGTATGCTGTGCTATGTACTTTTTCCGTGCTTGTTTCTGTGGTTACTGCAGGACACAGACGGTTGAAACAATGAGAACATCTTCCTTATTTCTCTATATCATGTGATGAAGTTATCCGATACTTGTTTTAAACTGGTTTACTTGCCAGCACATCGAAGAGAACATGTCCATAAAATTCTTGCTAAGGTTGTTATGTGATCTTCTCGTCCCATTGTATTTTATCAAGGAATCTTCAGTGCCCTCATAATTTATTCTTTTCTGGTATACTGATATCTATTCTGTTATTTTTCATTCCTTAGATTTTCTTCACTGCAATGAAGCTCAGCGCCAGTAAATAGTTTCTATTATGATTCCATAATATCTCCTTTCTTAGTCGAGCTTCCCAGGAAGAAAACTTGGTTTTAATGGTCCAAGTCCGGCCGAAACGTCCTCATAAGTTTCAGTCTCTTGTGTGCGGGTTATTTGTGTATGGATTTAGCATAACTAGTTATTCGAACTTTTTCATCCTTGCTGATTCCTTGACTAACAAGTTAGGATAGAAAGGTCCGGGATGGGGCGAGAGGAGCTTCGACACCAGGCGTCATCTTTAGGCAACCTTCAGGTGACCTGAATGTATTGAGAAACGACAGATAATGAGACACAACAGAGACAGAGAGAACTTTTCTTTTTCTGTTTTAGGACCTCTGTGAGGATTTTAAATTTCCCAGTCTCGCTGAGTTAAATTGTCATTGACCGGGAAGGGGCCTCGACCACTGAATGGCAATACTGTGAACGAGGACACCATAGGGAACCTTGAGTCTCATGTAGAATGTTCACGGCGGGAGATCTTGAAACTCCTGAAAGAATAACCACAGTGGGGGACTCTGAGATGCCTGACGAATAGCCACAATTGGAGACCCCAAGACTCCTAAAGAATACTCACTGTGGGAGATTGAGCAAACTCCTAAAAAATGATCAAGATCGACCCAGAGACTCCTGAAGAATGAGCACACTGATAGACCGAGACTCCCAAAGAATGACCACAGTGAGGAAAATAAGGGAGGCGGAAGCCCTTCTGGGGAAAGAAATGGCACGGGAAAGAAGCTATTTAGTGGCGTTTTGTTACTGTATTGCGGAGCACAGGACTAAAATAAAAATGTGAAATATAATGCGAAACATGAAGATTATTCCATTTCACATAAAATACTATGATTTTGCTAAAGTTCTCCCTTTAAAAATATAGCTTAAAGAACAAGTCGGACTTTAATTATTTCTATGGAAGTGAAATATGTCTAATGATATGTCTCATTATTAACAGTGTTGAAAATATGATTTTTTGAAATTATTAAAATTATTCTTATAAGAATATAGTATAATTATCATTACTTAATTTATTCATTAAAATAGTTTTGATTACATTTGGAATATAAACATTGTTGTTATGAATACAATTGTTAAATTTAAGAGTAAAATTATATCTGTACTACTACTAATATTATTACTACTACTATTGCTGCTGCTACTACTACTACTATTACTAATTATTATTATTATTATTATTAAATAGTAAAGACACAAATAACGTAGCACAGTTTATGAGGGACAGATTCAATGCAAATGGAGCTCCATTGATCTCAGTAATTTATTACAAATGTTGAAATAGGACGAGAATACTGTGTTGAACTCAGTCATCTCTACCTCGGCTGGAAAGGCAGAGCCGGAGGCCCTTAGCTTTTGATGACCAACAGCCGTTAAAGAAATTATTTTTACATGCTCTAGTATTGAAAAATAAGTATGAAGACACAGAAAAATATTTTGTTTTGACAACGTTTCGCTCTGTGTAGTGACTTGATAGAGGCCTACGCAGAGCAAAATGTAGTCCTAATAAAAGTTTGTTCTGCAGCGTGTAAGTCGTTACAAGGGCGACACAGCGCCTGAGGAATGGGGGAAAACTGAGGTCCCTTATACTCAGGAGAGTAAGAGGCATCGGGGGAATAAAGGCAACCCCCCGCCCTTGAGGAGGCGGTGCAAACCTGAGGATGTTTTTACGCAGCTCTGGGATGCGGTACGCAGCTCTGCTCACCTCAGCTGGGAAAGGCCCGGTAATTTCTAGGGTGTCCCTCGGACCCCGGAGATTCGCTCTCCAAATTTGCAGTCTGAGGGCTGAGGGAAAGTGGGTATAGGAGAGGGGTCCCCCGGAGGGGTTTAGAGGGGGTCCCCCCAAAAGCCCTTGACTCTCCCTCCAGGTTTGTGGCCCTTTGTTGACCAGCATCCTTTGCCCGTGTGGGGTAATTTTGACATATAGCTGGTGTATATATATATATATATATATATATATATAATATATATATATTTTATATAATATATATAAAAAATTATTTTATAATAGGTAGAAAGGTTTTGGTAACAGCAACCCCCCAGGGAGGTACTACCGTTCCTGCCAAGTAAAATGTAAAACGAAGCTTGTGTTTTTTTAAACTGTTTGGTAGGTTTGTGAGTCCTTTTGTCTGTTCATAAATACAAGATTACAGGCATGTCTTGCTACTTTATTTTCCCATTTGGGGGTCCCCACACACATACATTTTACACTTTTAAAATTTATACCACCCCATCTGAGTTTTTTTGGGATTTTATCTTAATAGTTTTGGTCTTATTAATTTCCTTTTAAAATCCAGGGAAAAAGGGGGAAATAAAAATTTTTTTCCCTTTTCCGAAAGGGCCTTTGCGTGTTTAAAAGTCAATAAAATGCGGGAAAAAAGGGTTTAGAAACCCCCTTTTCCTGAAAAGGGATTACAAAAAAGAAAAAAGAAGAAAAAAATTTGGTCAAAGGGGGAAAACCCGGGAAGTGGGGTGGATGTTGTGCAGATGATAAGAAAAGATGATTGTGGATGTTAAAAATGAGAAGAAGCTGGATGTCCTGGTTTTAAAAATGAACAAAGCTGAAAGGGGGTGGGAAAATTTTTCAGTGGAGAGGAATAAAAGGGATTAGGTCGGGGTTTCAATAGATTTAGAGCTAAAAAAGGGAGAAACAATAATGTTAAAGGGTTAACTATTGGCAGGAAAAGAGGGACTATAAATGTATTAATTAAAGGGATTATTTGGAGAAAAATTTAAAGTTTGGGTTGTGAAAGGGGGTTTAAAAAGCGGTATGAAATTAGAAGAAAAAAGGTAGGGGAGAGAAGGGGTTTGGGGGAAAAAGTTGAGTGAATGCGTGGGGATTTTTTGAATAAAGTGTGGGTAAGGGTGGGTTTGGGGAAATTTTTAAAAGCTAAAGGGGGGAAAAAATTTTATGGAGTTAGAGTAGGTAAAATTTTGGGGGGCCAGGGGTAAATGTAAATGGGGGGCCTTTAATTGAGCTAGTGGGAAAGAAATTTTTGGGAATAAGTAAAACTATTTTATAAAAAGAGGATAAATAAAAAATCCAAAGGGATGAGGTTTGCACGTAATTAAAAAAATATTTATTAGATTATGTATTTGGGGGATAAAAAGGGTTTATGGGTAGGCTCCAGGAGTACATGTTTTTAGAAAGGGGGAAATGAAATATCGGGTTTCCCTTTTTTTTTTTGTTGTACCAGTTAAAAGTAAGAGGGGAGGGTGGGAAAAGGGGGAAGGGTGGCAAAACAAGTAAAAGGGAAGTAAAGGGGTATAAACTAAGGGGGGAGGGGGTTCGGGTGAGAAAAAAGCGACTATTGGCAGAAAGGGGGCTATTGGGAAAGATGAGTTTTGGGGGGGGTTGAAGGGGGGTTGGAATAGTTTTAAAAATTTCAGTATTAGAATGTGGGGGCAGAAATTTGGGGGTTATAGGAGGGTGGGGGGCAGGGGGGAAAAAGGAAAATGATTGGTGGGGAAAGATGAGTTAAAAAGGGGGTGATAAAAAAAGGGAAAAAGGGGAGCTTATGAGAGGTTTTTACAAAGCAAAGTGTTTTAAAAAAGAGCAGAGTTAAAGGAGAGTAAAAGAAAGGTAAAGAGATTTGGGGAGAGAAAGGCAAAAGGGGGGCAGAGATAGAGTGGGGAGGCAAAATGCAAGAAATTTTAATGAAAATAAGAAAAAATTTTGGAGTTATTTTTAAAAAAGTTAAGAAAAAAACCCGGGAAAATAAAGGAAATTTTCAGTTTTAAAAAAAGATAGGGGGTTAAATAAAATGGGGGGAAAGGAGGTATTTGGGGAGATGGCCGAGAATATTTTGAGGAACTTTTAAAAGTTTTAAAGGAAAAAAAACGGGAGTAATTTCATGCACTGGGGCAGGGAGGTATACCATCTTTTTGGGGGTGAAGAAGAGCAGAATGTTTTAAGTGTGGGGGAGGTTTCGTGAGGATTACTTTTAAAAAGAAAGGGGGGTAAAGCCGCTGGGAAATGATGGGAGATAGCCCGAAATGTTAAAGCAGGGGGGGATATAGTGTTTTTGGGGTGGTTGGTTTCTTTTTTTTTAATAAAAAGAAAGAAAGGGGGAAGGTACCTAGGGATTGGCAGGAGCCCTGTATAGCCCTTTTTTATAAAGGGGAAAAGGGGGCAAAAGAGACTGGTTAAAAAAAATTTTGAGGGAAAAAGTTAAATGAGTAAAACCAGAAAAGTGTACGGGAGGGTTTAATTGAAAGAATTAGAGGTAAGACAGAAGTAGGGGTTTCGGATGACAAAGGAGGTTTTTTGAGTGGGTAGGGGTGTGTAGATCAGGTGTTTACATTGAAGCATATATTGGGAAAAGTATTTAGATAAAAGATAGGGGAAATTTTTTTTTGCATTTAAAGGATTTAGAAAAGGCATTTTTGATAAAAGTGGTAGGGAGCAATGTGGGAGATTTTGCAAGAAAATGGAATAGGTGGTAAGTTATTAAAACTGTAAAAAAGTTTTTTTAAAAAGGATAGGAGGCTGGTTGGGGGTGTTGAAGAGAGGGAGACTACTTCCCCCGGTTTTAAAAATAGGCTTAGGGCAGGGATTTTGTAATGCACCATGGTTTTTTTAAAAATATTTATAGTGGGGTTTTTAAAGGAAGTAAATGCTAGGGTTTTTTGGGAGAGGGGTGGGATTAAAATTTTGGGGAATCAAATTCAAAATGGGAATTGAAAACAGTTATTTTTTCTGATGATACTGTGCTTATGGGAGAATTTTAAAGAAAAAAATTTCAAAAAGGGTTTGTGGGTGATTTGGGAAAATTTTTGTAAAAAGGGAGAAAGTTGAAAATGAAAAAATAAAAAGAGTAAGGTTCGGGTTTTCAAATTATTTAAAAAAAAAAATTTTAAACAAATTTTGGGGGGGGAGTATGGAAAGTTAATGTTTCCCGATATTGGGAGTTGACGTGTCGGCGGTTTGGGTTTTTGAAGGGGTGAGTTTAACATAAAATTGAGAGGGAAAAAAAGGAGTGGTGCGTTGGGGGTAAATGGGAAATCCCCAAAAAAAGTTATCTTGGAGGGAAAGAAGGGAATGTTGAAAGTAAGTAGTACCAACACTTATGGGTGTAAAGCTTGGGGGGTAAATGCACAGGGGGAGAGGGTTTGGAGGCAGCGGAGATGCGTTTAAGGGGCAATGTGTGGTGTAAATTTATGCAAAAATTCGGAGTGGGAAAATTAGGAGAAGGTGGGGAGTTAAAAAAAAATTTAGTCAAGGGAGAGAGGGGTTTGTTGGGGGGGTTTTGGGTTTCATTTGAGAGAATGGTCACAGTAGAATGCAGGAAAGCATATAAATCATGGGGAAGGGAAGGCGGGGGTAGGGGTCGCCTCGAAAGGGTTGGAGAGAGGGGGTAAAGGGGAGGTTTTGTGGGTAAAGGGGCTTGACTTAAAGCATGCGTGCGTGAGCGTGTTAGATGGGAGTGAATGGAGACGAATGGTATTTGGGCCCGGGACGTCTGTTGGAGTGGGCGGGGTAATATTTAGTGAAGGGATTGGGGAAAACGGTTATTTCTATAGTCGGATTTGATCCTGGAAATGGGAAGTACAATGCCTGCATTTAAAGGAGGGGTTGGGAAAAGGGAGTTTGGGGGGATTGTTGTGTATCTTTATATGTTTTGCTTCAACTGTTGTATTCTGAGCCCTCTGCAAAAACAGTGAAATGTCGAGTGTGGTGAAAGTGTTGAATGATGTGAAAATTTTTTCTTTTTGGGGATTTTCTTTCTTTTTGGGGGACCCTGCCTCGGTGGGAGACGGCCGACTTGTTGAAAAAAAAAAAAAAAAAAAAAAAAATAAAAATATATATTTATATATATATATATATATATATATTTTTATAATTATATATATTTTATATATATATATATATAATTTTTATAAATATATTGTATGTGTAATGTGTACATTGTTTTTTCAAATCATTGAATTTATAATTTATTTTTGCACTCTGTATTTTGGAAATTCTTGACAAGCTTACAGGAAAATTCTTGCACACAGATCCGGGAGTCTTCCCAAGCTTGCCAAGCTTGGCAAACTCTCCAAATGCATAACCTTGTTTTGTTGGCAGTTTAGATTAAATCAAAACATGGGGGTTTAACAGGGGGGAGCGAGCAGCTGTGTCAACAGACCAGCCTTTTCCCTGATTTTGCATTTCACCCCCTCCCCCTTTACTGCATTTATCATATCAGGGGGGAAGAGCAAACCCGTGGGCTATACATCGCCGGGAAAGGGGAATGGAAGGCAATAAATTTGATCTAATAGGTGTTTAGCTCAAATTTTCTTCTCATTAAAAAGTTTAATGAGACTCTCTATTAGCACAAAAGGGGGCTATAAAAAACTTAGCGTCTTAAACGCCCTTGCAATACAAGTAAATTTGCTTGCATCCTAATTGCCAAAAGTTAACTTAGCCCTTGACTGACCTATGATTATTACTGATTTTGCTCCTCACTAAGGGTCTTGACTCGCAAAATAACCCAAAAACTTCCCAAAGAAGAACCAGAATAATCCCAAAAATTTCGGAAAAAAAATAAATGTACAGTTTTTATAATTCCATCTACTTTGGATTGCTACTTCATGACAAAGTTGAAAATTTACCCCAAAAAAAACCCCAAGAAAGCTGAACATAAATCGGGCTACAGCTTGGGAAAATATTGGAGAGGATAAAGATGAAAGTGAATTTACAGGAAAGCATTTTGAAGCCTAATAGACAAATTCATTTGATAAAGAACGTAGATCAGCTTTGGATTGGTTAAAGTACTCTGCAGTTTTTTGGAGATACACAATGATGGGCAAACCCAAAAGCAAGTATGTGGGCCCCCCAAAGGGCAGGCACTGTCTTGAAACACTGTGTGCTTAGTTGTCAATATATTGGAAATATAGAGTAGACAGCAAATAACGTATGTGAATAGCAAGATATCTTTTTAATGGAAATAAGTTACCGACATATAAGAAGATTTCCTAAATTTGCTTACAACATATGAGTCAAAAATGTACATATAAAAATTTACATGTACTCCCTTTCACCCTTTTTTGGGCCTAGTTCAGGGTTTTTTTGTATCCATGTGCTCTTTTGCTAAATTCACAGGGTGAATATTTGGGGGCAAAATAAACTAGCAGTTTTTTTTAGTAAAAAAAAAAATATAATCGCATCATTTTGTAATGGCTCCAGGGTCAGCGTCCCGCGGGCCCGCTCAGAGACCGGCCCACCTTCCTGACACCCGATGAATTTTGCTTTTTTTGAATGAAATTACAGCTGATACAAAGCCACAATTTTATTTCAAAAAGGCGGAATGGTTTGAGTTTATGTGCCCCTGGCGTGGGGCTATGGGCTCTAGTGGGGTTTGAGACACTCACCTGAGTCTTGTCGAGAGAGATAGGAGTGAGGTTTGGGTCATGAAGAAGGGTACGTGGGTCAAGGTTGATGGGTGATTGTCTCCGGCCCTCAGAACACATAGCCCAGGCTGGGTTGATGACACCCCAGAACTCTGGACCTGTCCAGTGCAAGATAAGAACAAGAACATGTTACCATAGTACTAACAATTATTATATTATAGGAACAGTATTAGTATTTAAAAATGTTAAAGCAGATATTCTACAAGCCACGGGGGAATGGAAATCTTCAGCTCATGAACTTTCACACTTGTGTTTTTTAGGAGCTATATATGTACACACCACACACACATACACACACCTCACTCAAGGAAAAATATCTGGGGGTGAGTATAACACCGAGCATATCTCCTGAGGCGCATATCAATCAGATAACTGCTGAAGCATACGGGCGCCTGGCAAACCTACGGATAGCGTTCCGATACCTCAGTAAGGATTCGTTCAAGACTCTGTATACCATTTACGTCAGGCCCATACTGGAGTATGCAGCACCAGTTTGGAATCCACACCTAGTCAAGCACGTCAAGAAATTAGAGAAAGTGCAAAGGTTTGCAACAAGACTAGTCCCAGAGCTACGGGGATTATCCTACGAAGAAAGGTTGAGGGAAATCGGCCTGACGACACTGGAGGCCAGGAGGGTCAGGGGAGACATGATAACGACATATAAAATACTACACGGAATAGACGAGGTGGACAAAGATGATGTTCCAGAGAAGGGACACAGACACAAGAGGTCACAATTGGAAGTTGAAGACTCAGATGAATCAAAGGGATGTTAGGAAGTATTTCTTCAGTCATAGAGTAGTCAAGCCGTGGAATAGCCTAGAAAGTGAAGTAGTGGAGGCGGGAACCATACATAGTTTTTAAGGCGAGTATGATAAAGCTCATGGAGCAGGAGAGAGAGGACCTAGTAGCAATCAGTGAAGAGGCGGGGCCAGGAGCTATGACTCGACCCCTGCAACCACAAATAGGTGAGTACAAATAGGTGAGTACATTATATTATATATTATAATATATATAATATATATATATATATATATATATATATATATATATATATATATATATATATATATGTATAATGTATATATATATATTTTTTTTTCAACAAGTCGGCCGTCTCCCACCGAGGCAGGGTGACCCAAAAAAGAAAGAAAATCCCCGGAAAGAAAATACTTTCATCATCACTCAACACTTTCACCTCACTCATACATAATCACTGTTTTTGCAGAGGTGCCCAGAATACAACAGTTTAGAAGCATATACGTATAAAGATACACAACATATCCCTCCAAACTACCAATATCCCAAACCCCTCCTTTAAAGTGCAGGCATTGTACTTCCCATTTCCAGGGCTCAAGTCCTGCTATATAAAAATAACCGGTTTCCCTGAATCCCTTCACTAAATATTACACTGCTCACACTCCAACAGCTTGTCAGGTCCCAAATATCATTCGTTTCCATTCACTCCAATCTAACACGCTCACCACGCTTGCTGGAAGTCCAAGCCCCTCTCCCACAAAACCTCCTTTACCCCCTCCCTCCAACCTTTTCGAGGACGACCCCTACCCTGCCTTCCTTCTCTTACAGATTTATACGCTCTCCATGTCATTCTACTTTGGGCCATTCTCTCAAAATGACCAAACCACCTCAACAACCCCTCTTCTGCCCTCTGACTAATACTTTTATTAACTCCACACCTTCTCCTGATTTCCACACTCCGAATTTTCTGCATAATATTTACACCACACACTGCCCTTAGACAGGACATCTCCATTGCCTCCAACCGCCTCCTCGCTGCAGCATTTACAACCCAAGCTTCACACCCATATAAGAGTGTTGGTACTACTATACTTTCATACATTCCCTTCTTTGCCTCCATAGATAACATTTTTTGTTTGCACATATACCTCAACACACCACTCACCTTTTTTCCTTCATCAATTCTATGATTAACCTCATCCTTCATAAATCCATCCGCTGACACGTCAACTCCCAAGTATCTGAAAACATTCACTTCTTCCATACTCCTCCTCCCCAATTTGATATCCAATTTTTCTTTATGTAAATCATTTGATACCCTCATCACCTTACTCTTTTCTATGTTCACTTTCAACTTTCTACCTTTACACACACTCCCAAACTCGTCTACTAACCTTTGCAATTTTTCTTTAGAATCTCTCATAAGCACAGTATCATCAGCAAAAAGTAACTGTGTCAGTTCTCATTTTGTATTTGATTCCCCATAATTTAATCCAATAATTTAATCCCACAAGCCACAGGGGGGTAGAAATCTTTAGCTCAAGTACTTTCGCACTTCTCAGTGCGTCATCAGGAGCTATACAATGTTGCAAGGTTGCAACTGAAGGAGTGAGGGGAAGTTTTTTCTCAGAATAGCGCAGAGTGGCCTGGCACCTCCTCCTGGCTCTCTTAGAATGTTGCCAGCGGTCGGCGTCACACCCACCACTGCCACCATCACCTATTTCCCCCATGTGGGGTAAGAGGGTTTTGAGAAGTCAAGAAATATGAAATTAGAAGGCATGATAGTCCGCCCTAGGCTTTTTCTAACCGTTTAGAACAGGTCCTGTGACTTGAGAAAATACGTTTCTCACGGGATATTATATATATATGGATTGCTATTATTCTGTGTAACCTATTTAATTAATAAAAGAAAGGAAATGAATGCACTCTTTGTCTGTTTAAATGTCCTGTTCCCGAATATTCTCAGTGGTTCTGAGACGTATCCTGTATATTGTCTATTATTCTTCTCAGTACGATTATTGTGCCTGATTTGGGAATGGTATATAAATATATATATATATGTATATATATATATATATATATATATATATATATATATATATGTATATATATATATATATATATATATATATATATATATATAATATATGTATATATATATATATATATATATATATATATATATATATATATATATAATTTATTTATTTTAACAGGTCGATTTGGAAGTTCAAAGTTTCCTCAACATACTGTAAATCGCAACTACTTCATTCCATTCATGTGGCATTCAAGTGGACGGTGGACGTATATACAGTTTTTCGGACTGAGTTTGATCTCATTAATTGTAATGATATCAATGTTACCTGTACATGCAAATAATATAAGACCTTTAATAATAATATTGATAATATTATTATTATTATTTTGCAATAGCGCTGTTTGTCAAGTAGACACGAGGGAAGGCTATGCCTCGTCTCTCTTCTTTATCAGTAACTGTGGTGGAAAATTTTGATTTTTTCTAAATTCAGAATGTGTAAATTTGAATAATATAATAATTGTGTATTAAAATGTGATGCTGATTTGACCCTTCAAGAAATATCGGGGGAGGCGGGATGTGGAGCAGCCGCGGAGTGACGCGAGGGGGACGCCATAATGAATTTAATGTGTGTGTACACTGGTCTGTTAATTGTGCAATGTAATCAGGTGTCATCGAAGTCCAATTGGTGTATACTGTCTTCACCTCTGAACGTTTTCTTCAACTATTTGGCTAACTCTTGTCTATTCCGTAGCTAGAATTAAGCTGTAAACATTTTCAAATAGGAGAGCGATACTTGTACGTTTACCAGCTGTCACCAGGAACCTTGTAATATTCACAGCATACCAGGTGTGATGACCAGCTGTCACCAGGAACCTTGTAATATTCACAGCATACCAGGTGTGATGACCAGCTGTCACCAGGAACCTTGTAATATTCACAGCATACCAGGTGTGATGACCAGCTGTCGCCAGAAACCTTGTAATATTCACAGCATACCAGGTGTGGTAACCAGATGTCACCAGGTGTGGTAACCAGATGGTGTAAGGAAGCCTGTGGGGATGCTTTAGGCAATTTGATGTACTGGAGAAGCGAGGGAAATATGCTAGATAAAAGAGAGAGAGAGAGAGAGAGAGAGAGAGAGAGAGAGAGAGAGAGAGAGAGAGAGCATAATGATGTCAACGAGATAAAGTCAGTTAATCAAATGAAAAGGCTGGCCCACAGATGGCTCCAACTTCATCCTGTTTCCTACTTGTATGTCTCATAACAATAAAAATGCTTTCAAATGAGCTGATGTAGGTAACAGCTCTTAGCTTGCCAATAAAGTTAGGAATCCTTAACCTGTAAATAGCTTGTCAATAAAACTAGGGATCCTTAACCTTGTCAAACCCTGTGTAAAGAGAGAGAGAGAGAGAGAGAGAGAGAGAGAGAGAGAGAGAGAGAGAGAGAGAGAGAGAGAGAGAGAGAGAGACAGACAGAGAGAGAGACAGAGAGAGAGACAGACAGAGAGAGACAGAGTCGTAATAACGAGAATTAGCGGTGAATTATGAGCCACAGTTTATGGAGATGAGAGCTCCATTTCTCCCTGGAATTAGAATTATCGACATGACCATTGTTATTCAATTACACCAGGTAGGAATAATACCAGGTGAGAATTATACCAAGTGGGAATTATACAAGGTGGGAATTATACCAGGTGGGAATTATACCAGGTGGGAATTATATCAGGTGGGAATTATATCAGGTGGGAATTATACCAGGTGGGAATTATACCAGGTGGAAATTATACCAGGTGGGAATTATACCAGGTGGGAATTATAACAACTGGGAATTATAACAACTGGAAATTATACCAGGTGGGAATTATTCCAGATGGTAATTATAAAAAGTGAGAATTATACCAGGTGGGAATTATACCAGGTAGGAATAATACTATATAAGAATTATACCAGGGGGGAATTATAACAACTAGGAATAATACCAGGTGGGAATTATAACAACTGGGAATTATAATAAAGTTGGTAGAATTACCGACAATATGTAAAGTAAAAGGACACAAGTGTAACTAATGTGACATTTATTGTGGCAACGTTTCGCTCTCCAGGAGCTTTATCAAGCCATTACTTGGTAATGGCTTGATAAAGCTCCTGGAGAGCGAAACGTTGCCACAATAAATGTCACATTAGTTGCACTTGTGTCCTTTTACTTTACAAACTGGGAATTATCCCAGATGGGAATTATTCCAGATGGTAATTGTACCAGGTGGTAATTATACCAGGTAGGAATAATACCAGATGGGAATTA